GTCCAGTGTTCCACGGCCAGGACGAAAACTGCATTGTTCCTCCTGAATCCGAGGTTCGACTATCGGTCGAATTCTCCTTTCCAGTACCCTGGCATAGACTTTCCCGGGGAGGCTGAGGAGTGTGATCCCCCTATAGTTGGAACACACCCTCCGGTCCCCCTTCTTAAAAAGAGGGACCACCACCCCGGTCTGCCAGTCCAGAGGCACTGTCCCCGACCGCCATGCGACGTTGCAGAGGCGTGTCAACCAAGACAGCCCAACAACATCCAGAGACTTAAGGTACTCAGGGCGGATCTCATCCACCCCCGGTGCCTTGCCACCGAGAAGCTTCTTGACTACCTCAATGTCTTCAGCTTGGGTGATGGACGAGTCCACCTCTGAGCCCTCAGCCTCTGCTTCCTCATCCTCATTATTATACTATATAAAAAAAGATTATAACAAAGTAAAAGTAGCAATACCACAGTGTAAAAATACTCGTCACGTAGCCCCAAACAGAGTGCACGACTAATAATAAAACTAACTGAAATGACAAAAATCACTGCACGTAAATAATCACACTTTTACAGTGCATGTGAACAGTAGATAACTCATGACTGATAAGAGTTTGAATTGTTTATATAGAAGTAATTTCAGTCTGTGCTGTCTATAGGTCCTTTAATCAAATTTAATTGATCAAACTGATTTATTGTCACGCTCTAGAATCTGTTCTTCTCTCCTCATCTTGCAGGATAACTAGGAGACTTTATTTGGAGAAATAAACTCGTACTTATGAAAGGTGAGGCCCAGGCCTCTCTCCACTGGCCCACAGCAGTTGGTGCAGTTGTAGATGCTACAGCGAAGCCACTTCCTCTTGGTTCTGTTGAGGCAGGTGTGGCAGTTGGAGATCCAGTGGGCCAAGTCTCGGCTCATGGTGCCCCAGAAGAAGTGCTTAGAGATTTCTCGTTGGCAGGTTCCCTGGCCGTAGTGACCCTGGTTGTCATGGAACTGTTGCAGGATCAAGTTTACCTAGGATCAAAAAGCAGCATGGTTAGCTTGCATATGCAGTCTATGTATGTGAACCAAAGCACATTCACACGTAACCAGTCACATAAAAATCCACATGATAAAAAGTTTAAAAAATTAGTGTTGTAGCATAAGAAGTCATTTGAATTTCACAACAGTGAGTAAATAAACCAGACCTCCTCTCTGCTGCGCGGCACTCTGAGAGGGGGATAGACTCGTGTGTACATCAGCACTCCATCTGGAACGTCAGAGAAACAGCTGGTTTCTGACCATTTCATCTTAACAGACACTATAAACTGGTTCAGTGAAGACTGAATGAGATCAATTAAAAAGAGAGAAGCTGTGTTTTTTCTCATTTTCCACTCACCTATGAGGCCAAAGCGCTTGGCCATCCTTCTTAAAGCAGTTCGCGTATTCTTGCTATGCAAAGGTAGGATCCTGTGGCCCAGGTAACTGCACAGTGCAAAAGAAAAACATTTCAACAGATTCAGTTAAATTTAAGAATTCACATGTAAAACTGTAACCTGCAACATGTAAATGATGAAGTCAGGTGATCACATCTACTTGGCAATCTTGTTGTAAGATGCGAAGCTCGGCTCGATGACGGTCTTCCTCTTCTTGTCCTCACCAGCTGTATTGACCACCCTGGAGTCTGGATCAGGAGCTGGGAGGGAGTACTGGTGTTCCTGCAGCTGCATGGGGGTTTCAGAGTAGTCTGTGGCTTCTGCAGCAGATGTAGAAAAGAGATCTTCCAGGACATCCTCATCTGAAGGGACAGGATCCTGAAAACCAACAAGGATTAGCTGTTGAGGTCACACCTGTAAACTCAGGCCCAAACCTGCATCACTCACACTTAATAATACTGACGGTGCCTGACCTGCTTTGGATGCAGTATATAGTAGAAATTAGGTTATTCTCACTTTGACTACAAAATTGGGTGCACAAATATATGTAAAGTAGCAGATACTTCAACTACGTCCAAACATCCACTTGGTCAGTTTGAGCACAGACAGGACAGAAATTGATTAATCTGCAGTGCTTACGTTATCTGCCGACAGCTGCTAGCTAGTGTTACCTCCCAAACTGAGAGCTGAGATCTGGGTGCAGAGTCATTTTCCAGTCTGCCACTCTCATCGACAGGATCTCTTGGTGGACTATGACTTAGCTACAGTCAGATAATCCATCCATCCTCATCTATCCTGAATTACCAGCCTGTAAAGCGACCGTCACATTCTCTATAGGACTGTGCATATCTAATATTATATCTCATATTTACATACAGTACAGTATGTGTAGCATGTGCCATGCAGAAATAAACACTGACTTCAACTCTGTGTGTGATCTGCCTTGTGTCACCTCATCCTCTTGCACTACAACAGGGAGGATGGTTGGTACAGCATCTGGTAATAAAGTCAGCTGACCCTCCTCAGTCACTGTGAAGCAGTACGGCTTGAAGTGTCGGGAGCAAAGATGGGAGTTCGTGCGCAGCGAGCACTCATCCCTCTGAGCCACCTCCAGCCACTTTTGCCGCCGCTCAGTCTCCTTTGGAAACCTGCAGAAGAAGAAAAGCAACAGTTCTGGTTTAGAAATGGAGCTGAACCTACAGATAACACTAATTTTCTTCTTCTTCTTCTATGTATTACCTGATATTTGTGATCACTCCATATAATATAAGTGCAGATTGTGGCGTTTTTTTAAAGTGTGCTCAAAAATAAACCGACTTGGTGTGAGTTAGCATGCATTGCTAACTGTAGCCTAACTTGAAGAGCCCATGGCACTATCCTTGTTTTCTGACTTATTGACAATGTTACAACGGTGATTTATCCCCTTAGATGTGACCTAAAGCTCAAAAATTATGCCAGTTAAAATATGGGATTTCTCAACAACCCACTTTGTTTAGAGTGTTACACATCTCTTCATCAGTACGCATACTGCTGTTTATCTATCTATGGAGGAGAAATTCATATTAATTAATGCCGTTGCAGTTCATTGTGCTGTCCACTTGCAACATAACCCCGGCAACAGGAGCTGTGCACGTTCACGAACTATCCTCTCGTTTTTAGGAAGAGACACAGGAGTGACAAGCAAATCTAGAGGTACCCAAGATTAAATATTAAATGGCTGGAAACGAGCAAAATGAGCAGCCATGGGCACTTTAAAAGTTAAGCCGAAATAGAGCTGAAACTCTATAGACTGAAAACAGAGCCAGTTGGGACAATGTAGAGCTGAGTCTAATGAACAGTGACTATAACAAAGAAAATTCCTTTTGTTTTAGTTAAAGACCAGAACAAATGTTATAAGAAAAGCACTTTTTGGTTCTTCACTCAAACAATTATGTGTATGTGTCCTCTGACCTGTGGAAGGTGAGTTCAGGGTATTTGTAGCTCGTAGCATCGCAGCTATAGGCCAGGCAGTAACGGATGGGTGGCTGAGGTGGTTGTTCGGCAGAGATTCGGGTCTGGCAAACAGCACAGGCTTTGATCCACGTCTTCACCGCCTCCGACACTCCAACCCAGTAATGCATCAACTGAGCAGACAGAGGAGGAAGATCTGTTTCTAAAACCATGCTCACAGCCAAGACATTGGAGCGGCCTCAGGACCGGTCTCTGACTGTCCCTGAGGGCCCAGCCACCGTCCAGACCTAAACCCCAGAGAACATCTATGCAAAGACCTGAAGAGGTCACAGACACTTTGCATCCAGGCTGAGGGAGCATGAGAGAATTTGTCAGGAAGAACAGGACAAACTGCCTAAATCCAGGTGTGCACAGCTGGTACAGACTCTTCTAAGGAGACTGAAGCTATAACTGTAACTAACTCTACAAAGCCTTGAATTAAGGCTCTAAATACTTTCATTTTTATAATAAGTCGATATCTTATGAAGTGATTCGGGGGGTTTGAATATTTTATCTAAACTGATCTGTTGATTAAATATCATCTAAACTCACCATTATGTCCTTAACCGTTTTCCCCTGGCCAGCGTGGTTGTTGTTGTCATGGTAACGGATCAGGATCTCCCGCACTTCCTCGTCACTCCTGGTGACCTGGAGGAGGCGACCTCGATAAGAACGCCACAGACGGCCATCTGGAGGATGGAGGAAGGAAACACTGTGAACATCCAACACGCAGCCGCTGGTTTAACACTTAACAAGGAAAACACAAGAGTAACATGGACCTGCAGTGCCATCATCTGTGATTCATAGGCAGTGTTCCTATGAAATTCTAACAATATATGTAAAGCAGGGCCATACTGTGTGGAGACAGGGTTAGGCTTTAACAGCTCTGGTTTCTTCAGCGTAAGCAGCATTTGTGTGACCTGCCAGAGCATCTGTACAGTACCCTTGTAGGTAAACTT